AATAGGTTTTTAAGTTTTTTAAGGTATAACAGGGCCAATCCGCCGCTTAAAGAAAATCCAAATGTCAAGGAGAAGTAGTGGTTTGGATTTAATGTTGTTATTATATTCACTGTAATTTAAACCAATCAAGAGATGGTGACTATACTTAGATAACTAATAATAGTAATAATAATAATAAGTATATGTATATTTTTGCCACTGACAATACAGAATTTTTAAATTTAGAAGTTTTATGGGATGTTACTTTAAATTCCTGAACATTTCTAGTGGAGTATTTAGGATATTTAACTTTTTTTTTAAACAATTTAAGATTCTTTTTGACGAAAATTATAATTTATATGCAATGGTAAAGGTAAATTCAAGGCAGCGTTAAAATATTATTGTTTTTAAAGGTATCTTGACAAGTTCCTTAATTTTTAAAAAGTGGCGTATATGAAGATTTAAGTTGCAGTGTTATGCAAAAAAGCAATTTTTTGAAATAAAAGTTTAGCATACTAAACACTTATTCCAGAAATTTGCTTTTTTGCATAACACAAATCTTCCGATACGGGTGTTTGAAGTTTTGTGTTATGCAAAAAAACAATTTTCTGGAATAAACGTTTAAAATGCTAAACGTTTATTTCAGAAAATTGCTTTTTTGTATAACTTAAATCTTCATATACGCCACTTCGTGAATTTGGGGACGTTATTATTCTCTTTTCAGCTACAAAAGCTCTATGAGAATCAGGCCCGTTCCTGGCGAGCGTGCAGTGCGTGCACGCACAACATTTTGGGGGCGCAAAATCAAAAAGTCAATCATTACTTTGTAACGATAAATTTTCTTGCATATAATACTTAAACATACATAGGATACAGGTTACCGCCTTTTTTTTGCGCCGGCCCCCATAAAGCGCTTTTTGCCGCTTTGATATTGGCGTCTTATTGTTTTTATTACCTATGGTCATCAAAATAAAAGGAGAGAAATGGTCATAATATTTTTAGTATTTGTTTGATAGTTGCAGTAACAAGCTTATAAGCTGTTATTAGACGCTGCTCTTTCGCTATGGCAATTAGACTAATTGAATTAGTCATTTTTGACTAATTCTACTTTAAAGTATACTCTTGAAAACAGGAATTAGTCAAAAATTACTAATTCAGTTAGTCTAATTGCTATAGCGAAAAAGCAGCGACTATATAATAACACTAACAACAAGTAATAAAATTGAAAAAAAAATATTATTATTATTATTATCCCATTATAATTTTCCCATGTATTTTGACCCACTAAACACGAAAATCACACTCGTTTTGAAACATGAATTTTCAAATGTTTTTTTTTCAATTTTGTGTTTTGACGTTTTTGAGTTAAATTAGATTTCAAGCTATAGCTTGAAATCTAATTGAACGATTTGGTGAAACAAGCCCTTAAATTGAAGGTATTTGAGCCCTCTAAAAGTTTCTTTAACATACTTTTGATACCGGATAAGTATTTTGATGCTAGCAATTTTAATAACTTAAAAAAAAACGTTTTTTGGCAAAAATTGAGGTCGAAAATTTAAATATCGTCCTGGGAAAGGTTTAAATCAGAGTCTCTGGTTTAAATCAAACATATAACTCCAGTTTGTATTTTTTTTTCGTGAAGCTGATATTTTTATAAAAAAAACAAGATAATGTTGATCCATGGAAAAATGACGAATTTTTTAGTGGAAGACCAATATTCAGCTTTTTGACTATTTTTAGTTCTTTTTCTTTTATTTTGTAATATGTTTATTCTTTAATGAAATTTTTTACGTACTTTTTTCACCGAAAACATTATTCAAAATTTAAATTTGACATGTCTCGTGTTGGCATAGTGACATTTTACTGCTTTTTTTTTAATATTTCATTATCACGGCTTCTGGGATGCAGCCATGATGGGTGATTACATTTGGTCCCTCATACGTACGAGAAATGGAATACGAAAGCAACAAAAAACAAAGAAGGAGACAGATTTTTTTAAATCCTATGCTTATTACAACAAAATAAAACCTTTAATATATTTAATGTTTAATATTTAATGTTCAATTTTTAATATATAATTTAGTTTCAACATTTAATGTTTAATATGTATTATATAAAAATTCTCAAAAAACTGAATTTTGGTCTTTCACTAAAAAATTCGCCATTTATTCATGGATTTTTATCAACAGCAGCTTATTTTTTTCCTTTTGGTATTATCTATACTTAAAATAATTCAAACTGAAATTATCTTTTTGATTTCTTTCTTTTCCAGAAATATAATATATACATATTATGTAAATTTTCGACCTCGATTTTTGTAAAAAATTCGCCATTTATTCATGGATTTTTATCAACAGCAGCTTATTTTTTTCCTTTTGGTATTATCTATACTTAAAATAATTCAAACTGGACTTATCTTTTTGATTTCTTTCTTTTCCAGAAAGATATGTAAATTTGCCATTTATTCATGGATTTTTATCAACAGCAGCTTATTTTTTTCCTTTTGGTATTATCTATACTTAAAATAATTCAAACTGGACTTATCTTTTTGATTTCTTTCTTTTTCAGAAAGATATGTAAATTTTCGACTTCGATTTTTGTAAAAAAAAGGACTTTTTCAACTAAATAAAATCGCTAGCATCGAACTACGATTTTTTGATTTAAGTGCTTGTTTGGTCAAATCGATCAATTAGAACTCGAAGTAGGTATACTCTAAAATGTCAAATGTCAAAATCTCAGAAAATTTAAAAAAACAATTGAAAATTCATATCTCGAAAACGCTTCCATGAAAAAAAGTGTGATTTTCGCGTTTAGTGAGCCAAACTACACAAGAAAATCATAGTGAGACAGGGTGGTCAAAATGGTTGTAAACTATTGTAATTATCGTCAATAGAAATTTGTATCCCGGACATTTAGCAGTCAACTTCCATTGTAAAATTGTCCGCTGAATCCGAAAATGTCAAAAGTTGACTATATCTTAAAAACTGCTTTACTTTCATAATTTTTAACGGTATTTTCGGTTTCAAGGGACAATTTTACATAATAATAAGCTGTTAAATCTCCGGGATACAAATTGCTGTGGACTAAAGTTATTAGTGACTGCTTTTTTATTTCGAAAACAAGTCATTTTTGACTAATTCATTTTTAGAGAGTACGTCACTAAAAACCAATTGTGGTGGTTATATTGTTCAGATTGTTTGTTTGTTTTCTTTAGAGTATTTTTATCACTTAATATTTTTTGTGATTTTGTTTATTTGGTAATTTAATAAATATATTTTACGCTGTGTCTAGTCTCACGCTAGCGTGAACGCAATTTTATTCTTATTCTCACGCGGTGACGTCACTAAAGGTAACATAACCTAAAATTCTTTCAAGAATCTAATTTGTTCTGTGAATCTTATTTTCGCGGTTTTGAGGTTTTTTAAACGTTGGCAGGCGGTTTGGTCGATTTGTGAAATCTGCCCTGATACAAGTGTACGTAAAATGTATTGCCATGGACAAAAACAAAAATAATGATGAGTTAAAACTAACAACCTATTGGAAAATCGTTCATTTTGCCCATTTTAGTTGGGTTTTTTTGCTCAATGGGGCGGGGGGGGCCAATGGGGCGGGGTCGGTTGGGTTGTGTTGTTGAGTTTGGGTTGGTTTGGCTGCAGTAAAAGAGTCTCGATTTTATTATTAGTAAATTTTATTTTTATTATTATTATTATTATTTATTACATTTACATAATCAAATCAAATGACATAATCAAATAATAATCAAATCAAATGACGTCCCAAGGACGACCAAGATACGTCAGAAATGGGATATCCTAAACTGGCCCGGACAGACCCAATCAGGATGTCCTTGGGAGGTCGTGTGCAATTTGGGATTTTGACATCTTTTTCACTCGGGTATGTGAACGTTGTGTTCTGATTTTTTCAGTCGTTATCAATAAGGAAAAATCCTTATCAATAAGAAATTTCTCTTAGTGACGCGTTGCGCATGACTACCCTTGTGATTGTTACCCTAGCCGTTAATTCGTAGGCGTTTTTTAATTTTAAAAAATCAGTGGTTTACTACGGAAGCGTAGAATGGCCACACTTTTTTTTAATATATGTTACGACTTATAACTCGGAATTCCGACTTATAACTCGGAAGTCTCACTTGGAATTCTCACTTATAACTAGGAATTCTGACTTATAACTCGGAACACTCGTTAGTGTGTTCGTGAGTGTTCGTAGGTGTTTGAAGGTGTGTTTGTAAGTCTTAAGAATTCATAGGTGTTTGTAAGTGTTCGTACTTACAAACACCTACGAACACTTACAAACACACCCACAAACACCCACGAACACTTACGAACACTCACGAACACACCCACGAAAAACCACGAACATCCACTAACTCTCGCGAACTTACCCACAAACACCCACGAACACCCATGAACATGTGATTGTTCTTGGGTTTTCGTAAGTGTTCGTGAGTGTTTGTGAGTGGTCGTGTGTGTTCGTGGGTGTTCGTGAGTGTTCGTGGGTGTGTTTGTATTTGTTCGTGAGTGTTCGTGGGTGATCGTGGATGTGTTCGTGGGTGTTCGTGGGTGTGTTCGTGAGTGTTCGTAGGTGTGTTCGTGGGTGTGTTTGTGAGTGTTCGTAGGTGTTCGCTAGTGTTCCGAGTTATAAGTGAGAATTCCGAGTTATACGTGAGAATTCCGAGTTATAAGTGAGAATTCCGAGTTATAACTCGGAATTCCGAGTTATAAGTCGGAATTCCAAGTTATAAGCGAGAATATTAAAAAAAAAAGTGTGGCCCTTCTACGCTTCCGTAGTTTAAACTACGTAATTACGCCTCGTAGAAAGTTTAACATCATTTTGTGCGTGAGATTTTTTTGTCAAATCACCTCTAAGTTTTTTTTTATTATTAAGAAAAACCCCTTAAAATAATAATACAGCTAAACGAGGTTGTAAAAATGTCATTATCCTAAATTAGGATTCCTAATGATCATCTCCTATGTTTCGACGTCTATTTCCATTATCGGGCCAAAGGGTTGGCAACCCAGATTACGTCGAAACTTTCGACTCAAAAGTGAGGTTATACCCAAGTTTAAGGTTAATTTTTTCTAAAAATGTCTTTTAAAGTCTGTATTAGGCTTTTATCTCAAGCAATTAAGCACAATAATTTAAATGCACAATTATTTAATGCATCCAGCAAAATAAAAACATCAAAGTGCCATATACCATCAATTAGTTTTGTTCACCAATATTCCACAAAAGCAAAGGAAGAAGCCAACGATAGAAAACCTGTGTATTATGGCGTATTAACACCTCAAATTAAAGCTGTGAAGGTAAAATAAAAAATATATATATATTTGTCATTCATTTAATGTTTTAGTTTTTTTCTCTATCGTCAAGCTTTGTTGGACTTGCAGCTCAGCCATTTCTTTATAATGAATTGTCGGCTTTAGGAAATGTAGGAATAATAGTAGCAGCGTATTCCTTTATTGGCTTTTTTACTTTGGTTACACCTTTAATGCTACATTTTATAACCAAAAAATATGTAACTCATGTAGAATATAATATACGTACTGGTAATTATATTGCTAAAACAGTGAATTTCTTCTGTGTAACAAAGGAGGTAATAATAAAAATAAGTAAAAAAGGTTAAACTGATTAATAACTTAATAAATCTTACAGCTTGAATTTAAACCAAAAGATGTAGTCGTACCTGATGTTGCAGGAATGTTTACTACATTTGAAGCTAAAGGAAAAGCATTATTTATGGATCCCCGACATTTTGATGATCCCACACATTATGAGAAAATTATGGGATATGATAAACCCATTGACTTTAAATTATATGATACACCTTCAAATGAAAAGAAAAATTAACTTAAACTTAGTTAAGATATAGTTTTATAAGAGAGTTGGTACTATGGTCTATACCCAAAAGTCCCACCATGTAACTTTGATGGGAATAATTTTTCGTCAATGTCAAGCTTATTTCGTTGTACTTTCTAAAAATAATACCTACAATGTATTTTTTGTGTTCTAAATTAAAACCTTTGTACACAAAAAATACATATATTATATTGCATTATTTTCAGAAATAGGACAAAGTTAGCTTGACACTGACAGAAAATTATCCTTAATTATTCCCATTGGCTAACACTTTTGGGTGTGGACCATAGAACATTTTTCATGGAAACTACCATGGAATTGTTGTTGTTATTGTTTTGTATGTAAATATTTAATTTATAAATCAGTTTATAAGTTTTACAAAATTGCCTTAATTAAACACTATTTTAAATCCAAAATTTATGAAATAAAAAAATGCATCTTAAGTGCTAATAATTAGTTAACATTTTAAACTCACAAAACAAGTCATTGCATTCACATTACATTATGTAAATACTTTTTTCCTACAATAAAGTTAAATTAATTTAACTTTATTGTAGAAAAAAATTGTACCGTTTCCATAGGGATAAAAAGTATGTATTTGAAAAATGCTATTACATCCATAGCAACGAACTTTTACATCTAAACTGGAACTGGAAAATGTCACTTATAATGTTATTTGATGCATTTAGCGAATTAATTTTTAATAAAATACACATTAACCACGACATGACACAAGCAAATCAAATGCTTTTCAAAAAAGCTAGAGATCTTAAAAAAGACTCTTTAAAAACTTCAAATTTGCTTAAGCAATTGGTTCAACCATAATAAAGTAATGATGGGTAAAGATGATGAGAGCAAAATCTTGAAAGTTGATAGTGAGGACTCCCTTACTAAAATCAAGAAAAAATTCCAATAGGAAAACTAAATTCAAAATTTACATAAATGAAATTAAAATATTAGCTGCTCAAACCAGACAAGATATTATACCCTAACAACAATCGGGATTTCCTGCTGAGGTCATGATGATATCACAACGTGATTGTTTTTTATCACGCTGTGATATCCTGAGTGCATACACATTCTTCATCACAGTGATATCATGTAGAATTCACGGTGTGATATTTGCAAAATTTGCGCATGCGTATAAGCCCTGCGAACTGCGAATTTAAAACCTAGTTTGTTATTCACATTACACCGTTATAATTTATAAAACGTTGTTTGAATATCAGGAATGTTGTCCGGGGTCAATTAAAAACGATATTCCAATGTTTAACAAAACGTGAACGTTTGCGTGATTTTCACAAATTTTATTCATACCCTTGCGGCCTAGAGTTTACGGTTTATTCACTGTGAATTTACCGTAAATTCACTGAATTCACCGTAAATTCACTCTGAATTCACCGTGAATAAACCGTCTGTTTGTGACATTTATAAACGGTAGTTAGACGGTGAATTCACGCACTTTTCACAGTATTTTAATTGTAAATCCACCGTATTTTAGCGGTATATTCACGGTAAATTCACGGTGAATAAACCAATAATAATAAAATCGACTATAGCTAGCCATTATTCGTTACTGAGCAGATGAGGATGGAGATGGGGACTTCAAACAATTAATGTTCAGCTATGCCATTACAGACGCACACTTCCAACTAAATATTGCAACCCAACGCTATTTATAGTTAGCTCGCTTGCGTAAGCAGCCGTGAGATGTATTGCTTAAACCGCTTAACACAGAAATCGACTAATAAAAAAAACCGCTAATAAATGGCGTCCAACTTGTTGTTTTTTCTTTATGATGGCGTCTCAATCTCGTTGATTTTGCGCAGCTACACAAGAGCTCTCTTGCGATATTTGTATTGTATTGGGAATAACCAATTAGCAGATTGTTCTTACACTTACAATTTGCGGTGTTTTCACAGTCAATTTACGGTGTTTTCACAGTAAACTCACAGCGCTTTTACGGTGAATTCACGATAAATTTACGGTACTTTCACAGTGAATTTGCGGTGATTTTGCAAACTTGAGTTCACCGTGAATTTACCGTGAAATCGCCTTGAATTAACCGTGAAATTACCGTGAATTTATCGCAAAAACAGCGTGAGTTCACCGTTTAATTACCGTCTACAAATGTCACAAATGGACGGTATATTCACTGCACATAAACGGTGTATTCACGGTGAATTCACGCAAACGGTGAATTTACGGTGAATTCACCGTAAACTCAAGGCCGCAAGGGTACTGATATCATACGGAAGTCACCGCGTGATAAATGAAAATCATACGAACTAAACTGCGCACCACTCAATGTGTCGCGACCAAAAAGTCCGTCCTTTTTCAAAACGACATAACTTTTTTGTTTCTTGAACGATTTTATTTTGGTCTGTGATGTCTGCTAACCCCATCATCTGGCAATTCATGCTATAGATATTAAGCCCACGGTTCTTCAAGTAAATTTCCTACAGGGTGATATGTAAAACGGTGAAAAATTTTAATAACTTCACCCTATTGAAAATGCCATATAGAACCATATAAAAAACACGTATCTGGATTCTATATGGTTTCTATCTGGTTCAATATAGGTATTTGAAACAGGCATTTCACTATAGAACCAGATAGAAGATTACATTATAGAACCAGATAAAAACACTCTCAAACACTATAGAACCAGATAGGGAAACCTATCTGGAAATACATATAGAACAGAAACCAGATAAATCCATATACAACCATATACATGTCTTTATAAAGACATGTATATGGATGTATATGGATTTATCTGGTTTCTGTTCTATATGTATTTCCAGATAGGTTTCCCTATATGGTTGAATATGAAAGTTTTTAAAATGGAAATCCATATTCAACCATATAGAATCCGTAATGTAAACCAGGACTTTCCATATAGGACCTATAAAACCATATAGAACCAGATACGTTTCCTTATCGGATTCAATATGGGTTCTATATGGCATTTTCAATAGGGCATCCAAGCCCCGTTTGAAAAAAGAAATATTTTTCTCGTTTTTACTTTGAAATAATGAAGTATTATAATATTTCAAGGTAAGACATATATGTCTTACCTTGAAATATGGTTTTCAAATTTTTCGAATTGGAATCTTAGCAACGAAAATATGATTTTTTTTTCAAAAGAGTACATTTAAGGCTTTTTGGAAGGCAATACACTCAGTCTTTTTAAGAACAAGAAAATAAGATGGTGAAAGATTGATCCTTGAATAATTCTGAACAAGCGACAAGCAACAAACTTCCATTATTTTCAGAGGGGCATAAGCAAAGAGCACTTTTTCAAATGACATTTTGGTGAAAATTTGCAAAAAAACTAAACCTGAACCGATATTTACTTTCGTGACATGTTTTCTTTATAATTTTGGCATCCTGATTGTGATTCAGTTGTCAAATTTAAGTTTCAGATAAAACCAAAATCACCAAGAATCAAAATTCGAAAATAATTCCCTGCTGTTAAATGTCTTAATAAAATCCGATTGCTGGCGTGTTTTTTGCATATTTATGATTAAAATGCCATTTGGGGATTCATTTTTTGGGCGATATTGCTGCAATTTGTTTGAGTGGTTAGTACAATTGTAATATAACAAAATTACCAGTAACAGCAATGTATACATTATAACATATGTTATAAAATTGTTATAACCCGGACAACAATCGGGATTTCCTGGTGAAATCATGATGATATCACAACGTGATTTTTTTTGTCACGCCGTGATATCCTGAGTGCATACACATGCTTCATCATAGTGATATCATGTAGAACTCACGGTGTGATTTTTGCAAAATTTGCGCATGCGTAATAGCCCTGCGAACTGCGAATTTAAAACCTAGTTTGTTACCTGTTGATTCAACATAACTTTTCTCTTAGTGTACGAACGTGGCGCAAAAATGATTATAAAAACACCGTTGGCATAAAAAATCACGACATGATTTTTTATGCTATCGGTGTTTGGGCATAAAAAATCACGACATGATTTTTTATGCCAACGGACATGTTAGGATATTTATTTTTGCGCCACATTCGTACATTGTGAGAAAAAGTATGTTAACAATTGAATTAACAGTTTTTGCTGTTAAATACATTTAATATTTTCTTGGATGTAAATTAACTATTAATTTAATTCCAAAAAAATATTGAATGTATTTAACCACAAAAACTGTTGATTCAATATAATAGTATACTTTTTTCCCTAATGTACGAATGTGGTGCAAAAATAAATATCCAAACACCGATGGCATAAAAAATCACGACATGATTTTTTATGCTATTGGTGTTTGGGCATAAAAAATCACGACATGATTTTTTATGCCATCGGTGTTTGGATATTCATTTTTGCGACACATTCGTACAGTGTGAGAAAAAGTATGTTAACAATTGAATTAACAGTTTTTGCGGTTAAATACATTTAATATTTTCTTGAAAGTAAATTAACTATTAATTTAAATTCAAAAAAATATTGAATGTTTTTATTTAACCACAAAAACTGTTGATTCAATATATATGTAGGTATTCTTTTTATCTCAATGTACGAATGTTGCGCAAAAATAAATGTCCAAACACCGATGGCATAAAAAATCACGACATGTATTTTTATGCCATCTGTGTTTGGTCATAAAAAATCACGACATGATTTTTTATGCCATCGGTGTTTGGATATTCATTTTTGCGACACATTCGTACAGTGTGAGAAAAAGTATGTTAACAATTGAATTAACAGTTTTTGCGGTTAAATCACAGGTCTGTGGGTTAAATACATTTAATATTTTCTTGAAAGTAAATTAACTATTAATTTAAATTCAAAAAAATATTGAATGTTTTTATTTAACCACAAAAACTGTTGATTCAATATATATGTAGGTATTCTTTTTCTCTCAATGTACGAATGTGGCGCAAAAATAAATATCCAAACACCGATGGCATAAAAAATCACGACCTGATTTTTTATGCTATCGGTGTTTGGGCATAAAAAATCACGACATGATTTTTTTATGCCATCGGTGCACCGACATCTTTGGATATTTATTTTTGCACCACATTCGTACATTGAAAGAAAAAGTATGTTAACAATTGAATGAACAGTTTTTGCGGTTAAATACATTTAATATTTTCTTGAAAGTAAATTAACTATTAATTTAAATTCAAAAAAATATTGAATGTTTTTATTTAACCACAAAAACTGTTGATTCAATATATATGTAGGTATTCTTTTTCTCTCAATGTACGAATGTTGCGCAAAAATAAATGTCCAAACACCGATGGCATAAAAAATCACGACATGTATTTTTATGCCATCGGTGTTTGGTCATAAAAAATCACGACATGATTTTTTATGCCATCGGTGTTTGGATATTCATTTTTGCGACACATTCGTAC